ATTTGTAAATTATATATAAAACTTATGGTAAAATTTTTTTTAATTAAAAATAAAAAAATATTTTATTAAGTAAACAGTTTTAAACAATATAAAAAGTTTAAAAAAACAGTTTAAAACGTTTTTAATTATCCCTAGGGAGAACGTTAAACGAATTTTTAATTTCAAATGGCCTAATTATAATTTTTTGGTAACGGTAAGTTACCCAAAATATTAGTAAATTACCAGGTAAGTTATCACAAAAAAAATCAAAAATTTAATTGGTTAAAACCGGGAATTATCCTATTAAAAATTTGCTCGTTTTTTATGTTCGTTCATGGTCTGCCTCAGAGCTTTCGGAGTTCCTTCTCTAGTATTAATGCGATCTTAACTCCGCAGTAATTTGGTAACAGAGAGTTTGGGTAATTTACCATTTACAACTCTGAGTATAACATTAATTTAATTGGCCAGAATTAGAATAGTATAGAGCATAATTCGGGCTAGGTAATATAAATTTGGCCAAAGTAGTAAATCACGAGTTGACGTGAGCCCATCGTAGGGTTGTAAATTACCGTAAGTTACCACCAATAAATATCTTGTTCTTTTTTAATGTTCGTTCAAAGTCTACTTCTACCTCAAATTAACTCCGCAGTAATTTGGTAACATACCCAGAGATTTAGTTAACTTACCTGGTAATTTACCTATGTTAACTTACCATTTACTATATAACCCCTATACAACAGTAAACCTCAACAAGATAAAGATAATTCTTTCGTTTATTTTACATTAAAATTTTCAGTTACAAAAAGGTAAAAAATTACATCAAAATAAAAAGAAATTTTTCTCAAAGTCATTGCGGTATAAATAGAGCCAAGATTCAATTAACGTGAAATCTTAACTTTCTGTTATCATAAAAGATGTCATAAAAGAAAAAGAGCATAAAAAAGAAAATTTTACCAAAAAATCATTGTAAAAAAAAAACTAATTATTGTACAAAAGAGGATTCGTTACTAATACAAAATCTTTCTTCAAAAATAACGAAAAATCAACAAAAAAGTATGTACAAAATAAATAAATAAATAATAAATCTTAGTTACTAATGCGCTTTGAAATTATGAGAAAAAGAACATTTTTTGAAATGGGATGATAAAAAAAAGACAAAATTATAACTCCCATGCGATATTGAAAAATTTTTCACTAAAACTATCTTCTTATAAATAAACAAATCGTCCACTATATTCCATTATTTATCCTCTAACAACTTTCACAAGACCTACGACGGGCCTTACGTAGATTGCATACAAGACTGATGTAGCAATACTGGCCGAAAATACAATAGTATTAACCAATGGATTAACCACCAATGTATGTACAAGGGTGTCTCTAGGACGATGATTCTGTTGTGTTGCTATCGCCATCTCTGTTGATGATGCTTGGGTTTGAACTAGAGCCCCTCCTTCGAGTTGTAATGTCGATGTCGTTGAACAATGTGTTTCCTATTATAAAAAATTGAATTAGTGTTGTTTTAGATAATACGTAACATATTTGAAATGATTTTTACCGGTCCAGCTGCTAATAATAGTTGTTGAGGATGTGTCATTTGCCTATATAAAGGATAACAGAAAAAAAAAACAGAGACTTAATAAAAATATAAAACTTAAAGTTGTCTATGTAAAAGCTTACGTACAACTGTTCTAAGACCAGTTTCAATCCTTCCACCTCTCTATTCTGTTCATTAAGCTTATCCTCCAATCGTCGAACGGTAACTTCCATATGACCGGCCAATAAACCATCCAATTCTTCTTTTTGTTGATTAACTTTAGTTTCCAATCGCCTCATGGTCTCTTCCATTCGTTCAGCCAGTTCGAGTTGGCGAGTCATTATAGACTCTAATGAAGATAACTTTGAAATCTGTTGTGACTGTTCATCGACTTTGGATTCTAATTGATTTTTAATTTGCTGAGATTGTTCTTTAACTATAGATTCTAACTGTTTTCTGACGCTATTTAAAGATTCATTTGTATCCTGGAGCTCTTCGAGCTATAAATTACATGATTAAATTACAGAATTATTATTAAAACAGTATACACATACACATTAATTTATTATCAAACTATATGATGTAGTTACCTTTTGACGAATTTGAGGGGTCTCTTGCGTAATATCAATTTGTTTCTCGGTGATTTGTGAAACTGGAGATAGAAGTTGGGGCCTTTCTTCAACATGATAAATATGGCCATTTTGGACGATATTATCACGGTTTAAATAATGATGCTGGATTTCCTCCCCAACGAATCCGGGCGCCACCGGAAATTTAGGTGGGGTTATAGGAGTGACTGTCACTGTGGAAGATTCTTCTTGGTGCGAAAGAATAATAGAACGCTCCAAATTCGAATCTTCGAAAGAGTCAGTGATTTTAGTATCAATTGGAACTTTAATAGTATTATCGAAAATCTGATCATTAACGTTATTATCAGATTTGGAAGCTTTATTAACTTCAACTTCTGCCTGATTGTTATAATATTTGAAATCGTCATTAACCTCATATTTTTCTGAATTGATACTAGACGAAGCTTGTGAAACAGGTCTCGATTTTTGTTGTTGCTCGTTGATTGACTGATCTTCATTAATAGAATTAGCAGAGGAGTAACTAATTTGATCTTTAAACTCGTCTGCTTGTTCTTCAATAGATTCAACTTTAATTTCTGGTAAATCTTCATGACCTGATTCGAGGGAATTAGTAACTCCAGGTGTAACAGGAGCACTCGAAGCCATATTCGAGATCGGGGATTCAGTTTGATGAGGAGAATCTAATACAATTACAGTCGATGTTTGTTTTGAACCATAGGAATCTAGACGCCCTTTGTAAGTTTTAATCGGTGAACCATTAATTTCCGGAAGGAACATATCAGTCATATCATTGTTATTGAAACTTTTGTGTTTATCATCAGGTCTTAAGAATCTATCTAAGTTTAAACTAAGTCGATTTCTCTGTTTAATATTCTTCGATTTTCTGCCTTCATTATCCGAAGGTGGAAAATCATTACTATTTGCTCTTTTGTATTTTCTAGTTTGCTGTTCCATAACTTCATCTTCGTTATCTGAATAAAAAATAAAACTACGCCTATTTCTTGACTTTACTTCGCTATTATCATTAGATTTTCTCGATGAAGTACGATGTATATTATTATCCGCTCCATCCTTACGTTTCTCTTTTTCAGATTTCGGCTTATAATTAAATATTCCTGATATTACACGAACCAGGCCTTCAGACTTTTTTTCTTCCTGTGCTGTTTTTTCCATCTCTGCATACTTTACTTCCTTTTTTAATATGCGACGAAGACTATTGGTTTTTTTATGTTCTTGTTGAGACATATCTTTTTCTTCATAAGTCGTTACTATGTCATTCTTTTTTTCTTCTATAGATGAAGATGATGAGGCGTAATCATTATTTTGCAAGTGTTCTGAAGAACTTGATGAAATCGATTGGTTTCCTCTGTCAATTTCCTCAGCATGAGTATAAAGACCATCTTTGGTGGTGGCGGTGGTTTCTTGGTATTGGATAACTTCGATGGGTGACGTCATTGTTATATAAAAGAAGGTTTCTACTATTATTTATTATAATATTGTGGACGTCAATTCTTTTTTTTTACAAAGGAAAGATGTCAAAAACGGCAGTTTTTTTTATAATGTCAACCTTTACAAGTAATAGAATGATAACAATTTTTTTTCCTTTTTATTTTTTTGAATTCGTTGGGAAATGTCAAAAGAGCAATTCCCTATC